ATCGAATAAAGCAAGAATTCGAACAAAATAAACATAAATAAACAAAATAAAATAATAAATAAAAACAGAAATAAAAATCCAAATTAATCAAGGTTAACAAGCTCCAATATTATAAATATAACCCTAGCAAGTGTATTAGTTATCAAGTAGTATAAAAATATCGTTCCCACGGGGATTTAACAAAATAAGTATTAGAACCACAGCCTTCCCTAATTATGTGGACAATCGAAATTCAGATTTGAGCAAGAACTACTGAAAATAAAAACTAGAAAAAGAAAATAGAAGCAAGGGTGATCACTAACCGAATATGCAAWGGATGAAATCGCTAGGGCTTTTGGTCCACCTAACCAATGTAATGAATATTAATGGATTCGATTAAYCAAGATTAYTTGTCATTCCCATAAGCTGAGGTCTTTCCAATTTTATTTAATATTCTCTCTCAAGATATACTAAAACTATGCCCATCAGGTAACCCTTCGGTCTCTCGAGTAGAGTTCTCAAGATGGAAGTGTATTAAGTCCGAGGAAAACCATTAWATTCAGATGAATCATGTATATATATCTCTATATACYATTCAATTCACACTATGAACTATTCAGTCAAATTATGTGAATTCCTCTCTCGATTCATTCGCATAAACCAAATCAATTAAGAGGCGGCCAAGCTCTTAATCGCATTAAGAAAAATAATTCATAGACTATATGGAAATCACAATCTTGGATAAATCATAAAGACAAAAATATATTCATTAACAGGGTTTGGCTTTCCACAGCCCTAGCTAAAAACAAATCAATTCATGATAAAAGAATTAAAGCAAACAAAGGGAAAGAAAGAACTCATGAATTCGCCCATGGTGCTGAGATCTCCTMTTCTTGCCGCCACCTTCTTCTTGAGGTTTCTTGAATTCTTAATCACCTTCCCCAAGTTTCTTGATTTGTTTTCTCCTTTCTTGATAGATAGCTCAATGCAATTTGTAATACCTTGATGCCCCTAGGGTTGGTACGCCCAGCTCTCATATAGCTTACAATTTCTTGGAGTTATCTCAAGAATGGATAATTCAACCTTTATCCAAATTCCTCCTATCCTATCCTATCTTATCTCCTATCTCATGATCTAAATCTTTCCTAATCTTTCTAGAATTACATTTAAAATTTAAATCTAAGAGGACTCTCGAAATTCTTGAATTCGAATGGGCTGCTTTAATAACTTGGGCCGCTTCAAGGTTTTTCTGTGAAATGGGCTTCAGCTGGGAACTAGGTCTCACTACGAAATTGCTCCGTCTTCGGGCCCGGATTTGACTTCGATGTAGGCCGAATCTGTGAAAGCCCAAAACATGAAAGTTGTAGCTCTATCTCTTGTCTTTCCAGTAGATCTTGAATCAGCCCAGTCGTACCTCGGATATGAAAGTCAGGCCCAGATTACTGATCGTTGCTGAAACTATGAAAACCCATCCGATTAGCCTTGTTTTCCTTCTTGCGACTTCTTTCCTTGCCCTGCACCCAAATACAAGAAATATGAGTTTAATTAAGTACTAATTTAGTATAAAAGATAGAATATTAGGGGATAAAATATGATAGACTTTATTCTCATCAATCTTCATCCTTATGACCAGTGCGTCATCATGGGGGTACTAGACTCATCGTGCATCGTCCTTGGTGAAAGATATGGAGTCTGCAGGCCGCGGGCGCTTCGGCAGGTTCCGCTCTTCATGTTCTAGTTCGTGGATCGAGGTCCTTCCTGCTGCCGAGGTGCAGCCCGCGACGATGGATCCACCTGTGATTGTGTTTATCACCCCGTGGACTGATCATTCTTCAGGTGGTTCTTGCTGCGCGGCTCGCCTGTTACTAGGCTCGGGGGCATCTCTCCTCTGTTCCCCCTGCCGATTTACCTGGATTTTATTATTTTTCTGTACAAAATTCTTTAAGTACCCGCAACATATGAGTTCCTCAATCTCGTCACGGAGACTTTTACAGTTTTCGGTACTATGACTGTGGTCTTTATGGAAATGGAAATATACATTCTTACTCCTGGTGGCAGGGTCCCCCTTCATCCGAGGTGGCCACCTTACAAATGGTGCATCTTTAATTGTCATTAAGATTTCCCCTCGCCTCGCGTTGAGAGGGGTGTAGCTCGTCCTCTCAACTGGAGGAGCTCGGGGGTGCTAACCTGACTTGTCTCCCCTGGCCGGGGACTTCCTCTTCTTCCTCTTACTATTTCTGTGGTACCGAAAGGAGGGGTGTGGCCTCATTTCCTCTACTAGGAGGTCAGGAGAGAGGGGAGATGGTACCGAAAGGAGGGGTGCGGCCTTTGTGACTCCTAGGCCCGCCTCTGCCTTGCCTTCGGGCTGCTCGGGCTGGTCGAGCTCCGAGAGCTATCCAGAGATCAGTGCATGGCGGGCTTTGGGATGCCGCCTCCGCTGCCTCTTGGCTGAGTTCGCGCTAGTGCTGGTTGTTTTGGTGCTGCCGGGTCGGGCCTTGGCCAGGTGAGAGTCTGACTAGAACTGGCTTTCGCAAGCTGAAGGACTTCGCCCAAAGTTTGTTGCCAGGACTTCGAACCGATTGCCCGCCAGCAAGGCTTCCGGCTGCACGTGCTGGGACAGACCGACCTTGGCGGGGCGAGCGCTCCCTAACCTGCCTTGTTGCTGCGAGGCGGCGGGGGCTGTTGGTCCTCTCCTACCGCAGGACGAGGCCTAGGAGGTCTCCTCCTTGCGGGGAGGTTGACTACTTCGATGGCGATCGAATGGCTGTTGGTTCAACAGTGTTACGGGGCACCGCGGTTGGGCTGACTGTTGGTTCTGTTGCAACGCTTGGAACTGCTGCTGGTAGAAGTGACACAAGACTTGTTGTTGGTAATGCTGAAGTTGTTGGATTTGCTGTATTTGGGCCTACATAACCCATATGCACTGCACTAAGTCACCAAGCTGGCTTTGCCCCACCGCGGGGGGGACCACGGCAGGTTCAGCGAAGGTTCACCGCAGAAGGGAGTGGGGAGTTCACAGCTTTGGCGACCTTGGGTAGGTCCAGCGTGGGAACTCCTAAGGTGTTGATGGGTACAGTAAACTGTCTAATACGTACAATGGGAGCTTGGAGGTGCTCCCCAGAGGTGTTTGTTCCGTTGTTAAGCTCGGCATTGCTAGAAGACGCATTGATACTGGTGAAAGTTTGGTAAAGAAGCCTTTTGAAACATATCCCACAGACGACGCCAATTGATGATGCACAATCCGGCCACTCCTAGCTAGAAGGGACCTGGGGTTGAATACTTGGCAGGGACTCTCCGATACTTAAGTTAGAACTCGGTAGCGAGTTGAGAGAGAATAAGTTTGCAAGAATATGAGAAAGCTAGAGAGTGATGAATATGCAATACCTTGGTCCCTGGGGAGTTGAAGTGTCTATATACCGATGCTCTGACGAGTTCGGTTGAGTCGGCCATGTATCCCTGCTGTGGCGGGATATGCTTGTCAGGCAGCGTCTCGAGATGGTTGACTGTTATTGTCAGGACTGAAGACAGGCGGGCTACAGTGACCGTTGCTTGGTACGGCCTCACCAATCAGGAGACAACCCGCAGATCATGACGCCACCTGTCGAGAGACGCGGGTACAACCTTCTAAATCGGCAGGCGCTGCGCCACCTGTCGAGAGACGTGGGCGCAGTTCTCTGAATCTGCAAGTGCTGCGCCGCCAGACAAAGGACACAGGAGCAGTGCGGAAGGTATGGTTCTGTCAGATAAGAAGCTTCTCGTTGGGCGCCGCGCTACCCTGCAGCGAGCTACTCTGTAGCGGGTTACTCCGTAGCGAGCTACCGGTGACGTGCCGAAGTGATTCTGCTTGAGGCGAGTTGTCTTCGGGATGACCCACTTGCTTGGGCCTGGAGTGAACTAGTTCTCGGACTGAGGTGAGCTTAGCTCGGAGTGCAGCTCGGGACGTTGGCACACTCGAGCTCGCTTTGTGGCGAGCTGATACTTGGTGAGTTGTTACCTGCGTCGAGTCATGTCCACGTATCACCTAGTTAGGGGGTCGGGTCAAATCGCCCTTCATCAATTATATATATATTTATATCATATTATTTATTATTTAAAATATAATATTTTATAATATATATTATAAAAACTAAAAAACCGAAAAACCGACAGTTAACCAAACCGGTTTGATTAACCGATTAACTGACTAATTTCAATTCGGTTCCGATTACTGGTTTTCCAAAACCGATACTACTGATTCGGTTCAAGAAAATGCCCCACGGTTCGATTAAGAAAACCGTGAGCACCGTACATGGTCAAAGATTTTAGGAAGAAGTTTCAAGCAACAAAGTAACTGTGTATAAAATATGAGGGTTATTTTGGTCAAAATTTAGATGACGTATACAGGTGTAGAGTTGAATTTGATTACACATTTATAAGCCGAACTCGGAATACATTTGTATTCCAGCCACCGTAGAAAGGTAGACGTTAATTTCAATTCTACCGTGGAGACATCGTTAAAAACCCCTTTATTTTATACATAAATATTATATTATAATATAACGCCTATAATACATGTTAATTCATATTATATATAAATTATTATATAACTTATAAAATAAATTTTATACACATGACATGACATATTATATTTAATGTTTTATACATAAAAGCAATGTTATATCGGTGGTTTTTTTATATGCCTGTACAGGAGATGTATAGGGGTTCTGACCGGTTCAGGGGTGGAAAAGTCTTAAATCGATTCTCTGAATTAATTTAAAAAAAAAATCTAAAAAATACTATCGATATTGCCCGATACGCTCCATCTATAATTTGAACGTTGCAGAAAAGTCATGGCCCCGGGCTTATATTTCAGGCTCGTGCACATGTGCTAAGCCCGGCCCGTCAGGCCCATGATCACCCCCTATGCGTGGCGTAATTTTTCCCGCACATTCAGGCAAAAACCTATCCATCCTTCAAATAATAATCAAATTCTAGAGTACGATCCAACCATCAACCACTTGGGTGATAACTGATAACGTCCACCAACCTTCCTTGAATGCTGCATACTTCTTTTATTAACTCTACTTTTCAACTTTCGCGTTTCTGCTGAGAGCTCCTCCGGCCATGATTTCGTCGGGATGGTCGGAGAAAATCGTCAGAAGCATTGTTTCCATAGTGGATTTGGTTGTTTTTACGTTGTTGGATTTTTTGGATTTTATTCTTTGTTTCGTTTACCGATTCTTGGATGAATCCATTGAAGTAAATCCCCCCTCATGTTACTGCCAGAACAGGGGAAAGCAGGGTGTGAGTGTCATTGGGGATGGAGAAGATGAACTCTCAGAAACTTTGTATGGTAGGAAGAACATTTTCAGGGATTGTGGTCTTCATAGATTGGGGAAAAGGGCGGATGATTCGGCCAAGAGTGGTAGTTTAAGAGCGAATAGGTGGTCCGACTGCAATTGTGAATCTTGTGTTTCATGGCAGCAAAATGGAGACAAGAATCTTCATGTTTTTGTAATGGAGCCATCACAAGGTACGTACAATCCATGGTTCTATTCATTTTCGAGGTAGTTTACTTTTTAATGGCTGTTAAATATTTCATGTTTTGATCAATTACAGTATCATTCTCTTAGCATCTAAGTGATTATGAGGAGTGCTTATGACTGAACTGGTGAAAATTAATAATCCAGAGCAACCCAGTTCTCATACTACAAACATCGACTTTGCATGAAAGATAGGAAGAACATCGCTCAGTTCTTTATGGTGTTCATACTTCTGTTCTCATAAGTATGAAGACTGCAAAACAATGTAGCTACTAACTGTCTTAATTCTTTTGTATATTGTGACAGCCATTAATGAGAACTGCAAGGGAATACTAGCTGAAAATGTGATTTTCTTACATGGGTTCCTCTCTTCATCCTCCATTTGGACGGAAACTGTGTTTACCAGTCTGTCTGAATCTGTAAAACGGAACTACAAGTTATTTGCTGTAGACCTCTTGGGTTTTGGAAGAAGCCCAAAGCCACAGGACTGTTTATACACATTGAAAGACCACATGGAAATGATTGAGAAATCTGTAATCGAGTCATCTCAACTTAACTCCTTTCACTTGGTTGCTCACTCAATGGGATGTATAATTGCTTTGGGCTTAGCTGCAAAATATGCCAAGTCTGTGAAATCAGTCATCCTTGTAGCTCCAGTGAGTATGTGAAACTTTTTTTTTTTAATTTTCCTTCCTTTTCTTTTGAGATTTCTTGTATGAGTGGGATAATATAACTCAATAGTTAATGCCACCTTTGAAATCAAGGAGGTATTTAGGCCCTGTTGGCTTTTCAGAAAGTTATGTACCCTTACCTTACCTGGGTAAGTGCATTTGCTCATGTTCTTTTATTTTCCAAATAAGTAAGACAATGACCGATTTAACCATAAGTTTTCCGTAGACCTCACATAAATCTGAAAAAAGAACAGGGGTATCTTGGTCAATGGAAACCAAACTCCGATTGACCAACTTTTCCCTCTCAAAGTTAAAAAAATGAATAAGCCCTTAGACTGTGTTTGGCTTGAAGGAAAAAGTAGGGAAAAGAAGAGAAAGGTAGGGAAACTTTTACAAATCTTGTATAGGTTTCCCTATATTTCCCTTCCATTCCTTACCTTTTCCTTCAAACCAAGCATAGTATTAGTGTTAGTCCATTTTTTCTTTTTCTTTTTCCTAATTTCTATTTCTCTTTTTCATATTGGATTCTTGGTTATGAAATTAAGCTTATTATATTACTCCTTTTCTATTGAATCTTGATTTCAGCCTTACTTCATCTCTACAAAAGAAGAGGCAAGTCTGAATGCACTTCATAGACTAGCTGAGAGGAGAATCTGGCCACTACTACATTTTGGCTCTTCTCTTATGTCATGGTATGAGCACCTGGGTAGAACCGTCTGCTTCATTATTTGCAGAAACCACAGAATATGGGAATGCATGCTCAAGCTACTAACTTGGAGAAGGTATGAAGGTGAATTTAAGTTTTGCTTTATAATGAAAAACAGAGAATAAGAAATAACAAACAGGCTTATAAAAAGAAATCAAAAACCACAGATTGATCATAAGGAAAGAAACACTCACCTTTATAATGAAGTATTTATTAACTCTGTTTTTTGTTTTTCAGAGAGTTGCCCTTCACGATTATTGACTTCACTAGGCACACGCATCATTCAGCTTGGCATACAATGCACAATGTGATATGTGGGGGAGCAAAATTAATGGATGAGTACTTGGAAACTTTGAGAAAGTCGGGAGTGTCACTAGCAGTCATCCAAGGTGATAAAGACCAAGTGGTTCCATTGGAATGTAGCAATAACATAAAACAAAAATATCCCCTTGCAGCGGTTAAAATCATCAATGGTTCTGATCACAGCACTGTTATTTTAGGTAGGGAGAAAGATTTTACAAGGGATTTAGAAGAGCTATGGTGTTATTTTTGTAGAAACTCATTGAGGAGAAGAAGATAAATAGTTCTTCAGGATGGTTAGTTTCTGGGTCGTCTATAATGCATTTATTCGAACCAAGACCATATACCCTAGATAGAAAGGATATGCATTTTGTAATGACTTTATTTATTCCCTGAAAACACATTAACTAAATGGCGATAATTATTATAGGAAAAGGGTGTATGCACCATGTTATTGCATTTCTGAGATTCTTGGTATACAAACTGTTTCTCCTGTGTGGCTTCCTATAATGACTTTTGCTTCTATGATCGCATAGTCCATTTGATTGATCCAAATTCTACCGCAACATAACTTGTGCACCAATTTTTAAATGCAGTTCGTGCTCTGATAATCCATTAAACTTAAAGGAGTTAAGAAACTCTTAAGAATAAAGAACTAATTCTTGGGATGAGTCACTACTGCATCCATGCTGCCAACATTTCGATAAGAGTGGATAGTTCATGGCATTGCATTTAGCATGTAGTTGTTAATCTGATCAACTTCAACATTTGTTGAGGGCAGTGTTAGCACCTACTTTTTGCTCAGTCCCCTTTCCAACCAACTTTTCACAGCACATGATTGTGCCACATCATCACACTTGCCACACAATCAAACTCCATCACAAGAAATAAAACCTTTAAACAACCAATTACACCAAATTTCAACCATAAATTCTTTGATTTCACCATTCATCCATCAGAGATTCCCTTTTAATGCATTTGACACTGACACTTCTCAAGCCTAAAACTTATGATCCACACATCCTTGAGATGATCAAACCCACTCAACAACCTCATAATTCAAATCCATGCTACCCTACCATGTTTCAACCTAAAATCCCCTCATTTACCGATCCATTAAATCAAAATTTCATTTTATGCCCCCTCATTGGTCCAAATACCCACTACTAGATTTTCATGATTCCCACACCTCTAAAGACATTAGATACTCCCACTAGACTCCAAAGATCCTAAGACACCCATTCACCAAATTTCAGACCTAAAAAATACCCATTTTGCCTCCTATCTCAAATGATTCCAAATCAACCACTCTCATCACCTATTACTCTCAAAATCATAGATCTCAATCACAACACCACTCCCAAGACATTCAAGCCTCACCAAAACTTTCCTCAACCACCTAATTGACCACCCAACAAATTTTAAACCTAAAAATACCCATTTTACCTCTTGTACGCAAATATTCTAAATCAATCACTTTCGTTGATTCCTACACTCAAAATCATAAATTTCTATCATGACACCTCCCCTAAGACACTCAAACCTTCCTAAAACCTTCATCAACCTCCTGATCAGCCATCCACCTAATTTTAGACCTTAAAATACCCATTTTCCCCATAGAAAAATTTTAAACCAACCACTCCTTTTACCTGTTACTCCCAAAATCTTAAATCTCAATCACAACACCACTCCCAAGACACCTAAGCCTCCCCAAAACTTTCATCATCCACCTGATTGACCATCCAACAAATTTTAGACTCACAAATACCCATTTTCCCCTCATCTAGAAATATTTCAATTTGACCACTCCCGTCACTCGCTACTCTAAAAACCTCAAATCTCGGTCATGACACCTCTTCCATGACACTCAAGCCTCACCAAAACTTTCATTAACCATTTGATTGGCCACCTAGTAAATTTTACACTTAAAAATGTCCATTTTATTGCTTGTACACAAAGATTCCAAATCGACCATTCCCATCACTCACTACTCTCAAAATCATAGATCTTCATCACAACACCTCTCCTAAGATACTCAAACCTCCGTCAACCACTTGATTAACCATCTATCAAATTTTAAACCCAAGAGTACCCATTTTGCACTCCATCTAGAAAGATTCCAAATTGACTATTCTTATTGGTCACTATTCTCAAAGTCATAGATCTCCATCATGATACCTCCCCTGAAACAGTTAAACCTTCCCAAAACCTTCATCAACTGCTTGATTGACCAGCCATCAAATTTTAGACCCAAGAATACCCATTCCCCCTATGTAGAAAGATTCTAAATTAACCACTCTTGTCCCTAGTATCAAAATTGTAGTTCTCCAACACCATTGAACCAGCTCCTCCAAGCACTAATTTCCATTCTCCTCTCTCTCTACTTCCTCCATTAATGAACCTCTTTCACAACTGAACTCCTCCATCTTCCTCCCTCTCTCTTTCAACAACACCATCGAACCCTAGCCTCCCAACACCATCTTCTTCCCCCTCTCCTTTCACACCCTCATCTTCTCACCACCTCCATGAACAACTAAATCACTCCATGACCGAAACTCTCCTCCATCTTCATATCTCCTCTCCATATCCCTAGTTAAAAGAAAAAAAGAAAGAAGCAAGAGCTCCACTCGGCCAAGAGAGCAAGGTAGAAGAAAAAGGGAAGAAAGAGAAAGATTGCTCCCTTGACCCTCATTGTTGTCTAGGTAACTAAACCCTAATATCTTCCTCTCTTTCCCCAACATCTACACTCCCCTGAACCGAACTTTCCTTCCCATCTATCTCCTTCCTCCTCTCTTCCCCAACCTCCATGAAACCCTAGCTACCAAAATCCTCCTGCATCCACCATCTCCCTCTCCATCCTCCATGAATCCTCTATAACCGAAATCCACTATATATTGACACAACACCTAACACCCACTGAATTCTCATTACCTCTAGATTCCACTTTCTCACAAAAAAAAAAAGGAAAAGGGAAGAAGGATGAAGAAGAAAACTTGGCCTAAGAAACCTAGGGAGGAATCAGTTCAAGGAAACCAAAGAAGAAAAAAAAGAGAAGAAATAAGGATAAAGAAGAAAAGGAAATTTGAACCCACCCCTCTACCTATCCGATTCAATCAAGGATTAATCCGAGAAAGGAGTGTCAACATTCCAACATTCTCCACTCTACAAGGTACCTGGTCAAAGGACACAAAGAGGCAACTTACCTCATCCCTTTCTTATTTTAATATCTATTTTTGGCATTTTGTAGCTTGTTGATTAGAATATGTCATGCTTTTTTAGTTGAATTCATGGTGTTAAAGTGTAGGAAACATTGGATTGAATTGTTAGAATATTTGAATGAAGAATATGTCTTTATTAGTGTTTTCTTTAATGCTCAAATGTCTTTGACATCTTAGTTTTTAGATTTGGTTCTATTTGATTTAGAGATAATGTGCACGCTATGTTGTTTAGTGCTGAAATCTTTTAATTCTTCAATTTTCAGATTTAGTTTTGCATTGACCTAAAGATGAATGTATGCGTCAATCTTTGATTTGCTTAGTTAAGTAAAATATTAGGTTGGGAGTGGCCTTAGAAGAGGTTGCTTGTAGGAGATTTCCTCCCTTGTGGTTTGGTCCTCTTCCATATGCTTAGTAGGAGTGAGAGGAAACTTGGACAAAAAGGGAGGATGCATGTAGTTACCTACTCCTTTGCTCCTCTAAGGATTCCTTACACCCAAAAAGGGAATGAGAAGGTTGAACCATTTGGCAAACAAGTTCACCATGACTAGCAACCTCTTGGATAGGCAAAACCATTAATTCCTTGTTGCTTTGTTTTTTTAGATTATTTTCTTCTCCTAATTTCTAGGGGAATTGTAAATTATGGGTAGGGGCATCAATCGACTGATTTTGGATTGGATCCAATCCGATACAAACCTTATCAAATCAGATTTGGATAGTCCGTTATAATTATTGGATTGGGCCAATCCAAATTAAATTGGTTCATATATATTCTTATTGGTCTGAATTGGACCTAAAGCACTTTTACAAAAGCACTTCTACAAAAGTACTTTATAAAACTGCTTTTAAAAAAGTAAATTTATAAAAGCACTTCTACAAAAGTACTTTTACAAAAGCACTTATACAAAAGTAATTTTTTAAAAGCACTTCTATGGAAGTAATTTTATAAAAGTACTTTTACGAAAACACTTTTACAAAAGTACTTTCATTAAAGTGCTTTTACGAAAGCACTTTTAAGAAAGCACTTTTGCTAAAGTGTTTTTTCAATGCCAAAAGGGTATATTTTTGTAATTTTTAGATTTTCTTCATTTTAATATATTTTTTATTTGTTTATATATTCTATTATTTTATATAATTTTTTATATTTCATTCAGTTTGGATTGGATCGATTGGATTTGGTTTGTATTGGATTTAGACTGGATTGGGTCCAGTCCATTTGTAAGTGGACTCACATGGAACTGGATCGAGTTGGACCAAATCGAGTCCAATTGACACCTCTAGTTATGGGAGAGGGGTTCCTAATACATTCCTTCTCCCCCCTTGATGTACCTAGAATAGCTTTCTGAGTCTTGTTTTTGCTTGCTTAAACATGGGAGGCCCATAACTCTCATATTTCATTTCTTGATGAGTGGCATCTCCATACTATTTCAGCCATGGAGTGAACCCCAAATCAATTGGGATGTTCACATAGATAAGTTTTAGATGTAAACTGTCTATAGATCTAGATATATATAATGAATGAGAGGTTTGATCCCATTCCCTTCGTCTTCTATTAGAAAGTCACTTGGTATATATATATATTTTGTTTTGTTCCTGGTGTTAGGGAGATGGGGTCTATGTTTCCATTGCTAACGTCAAGGACCCATTTTGCAAAATCAGAAGATTCAATGGAATCAACAACATCCTTTGATGTAGAAATGGTGTTTGTATGTTGTCCCTTTGTAATGACTAATAGTATTTGTCGGAAGTCACCGCCAAGTACAACTGTTTTTCCACCGAATGGTTGTTGATTTCACTTCATTACGTCTCTCAAAATGTGATCCAAAGCCTCAAAAGCATAGCGATGTGCCATTGGTGCTTCTTCCACCTAGCAATAGCAAGGAGGCAATTAATTCCTTATGTTGCTACTGGGAGGACTATCTTTCAATGTGCTCTTAACCTTGATATGATTATTTTCCAAATGAAAGTTTTCTCTGTTCCACCACTTCCACACACAAAGAAGAAATCACCTTTGTTGTTCATGCATGAGTTAGTGATTTTTTTTTAATATGAATCTTTGCTTAGAGTTTAATTAGGGAGAAAGGTTTTCAAATCTGCGAAGGAGGGTCTAGGGTCATAGTCCAATTCTTCACAAATTAATCTATTCATAATGGGCTAGTAAAGTGTTTCCTATGGAGTTGGTATTCCTAAATAGTCCTTTAAGAATTTGCCATTTTTCTTTAGTATCTTTTCTATCTCAAGCAA